CCAAGAATAAGTAGTAAAAGAGCAAACAATTCAAAAGAAAAAATTCTAAGCCAAAAGCAAAAGCAAAAGCAAAAAACAATCCTTAAAAAGGGAAAGTAAAACAAAAGAGAAAGGAAAAAAAAACTCCGACACTTTCAAAACGCCATCTTAAGTCCTTTCACTAGTATAACAAAGAAAAGGAGGAAAAATAGTAAAAATCAAAAGATAAAAAAATAAACACCTAAAATATAACAAAAAATCCTTTAAACTGCTCCGTCCGTTTAAAAATTACTCACCAAAATGCTGTAAACACGGAGATAGAAGCGGCGGTTTCTTTTGCTTCCAAGGAAGCAAAAACAGCTGGGAGGCGGAGATCAGCAAGAGCTCCGAGGGAACACTCCTTTCACCCCCTCTAGAAATAAATCCAGAGGGGGTTCAGGGGTTCTACCTCTACTCTTGCGTTCTCTATCCCTTCCCTTTGCCCGGGAAGGGATTTCCGAGCCGCGGGCCAGCTGATGCGCGCTGCGCTCCGCGGCTCTGACACTTCCCCAGCTGGACGGCTAGAAGCTAGCCGCCATCGCCGTCGCCTCCCACCGGAAGCTCTAAAGACTGCTATCTTATGAACTCCTCATGTGATGCACCTATCTGAAGCACTTATGGGCAATCTCAAGTCTTCTCCTTATCCAGAGAGTTATTACAAAGACCAGCTCTCCATTTGGCTATGGTTATTGGCTCTGCTTTTAATAGAGCCACAATCAATTTGCCATACCTTCAACAAAGTCCATTGATTCTTTCTACATGTCTGTTAAGGTGAAGTGTTCACTTTCCTTTGCTCCCTCTGAGGGAATCACCCTGCTCCCTGAGAAAGTTTAGTGGAAAAAGACACACAAAGAAACCAGTTGATATCTTTATAATTAAAAGGTATATAGAGATAACAAACCAAGGTAGTGACGTGGACAATTTTCCTATATGGGATTGACAAAAGAGGCTTGTTACAGATTTGAAGAATCTTGTGAGAATGTACAAAGGAAAGTGAAAAGAAATCAAGTTCTGGGACATTATTTGAAGGGATTAAATATCAAGATTGTTAAAAGTAAAAAGAAGGAATATAAAGTTGGTTTACTTGTTCAAGGTTTTCTCTCTTTTTTCTTTTCTGCACCTATATTTTTCTTTTCTTTGTTTTAGTTTTCACTATTGTAATTGTAGTCTTTAATAAAAATACTATTATATTCACATCCCAGTTTAAAGAAAAGAATAGCATTGAAGTTTTGCACAGATGCATCTGTAATTGAAAAAATATTTTGTATAAAAAAACAATATGCAACCCAGAAATGACATGGGAAATGATCAAGTTCTTGTATTTGGATGTTCCCACCCAGCTTTTCAGGTAGATAAATAGACAGAGTGACAATCATTGTAATGAAAATATAAATTCATTCTCCCTCTGGACAGTAATATCTTTAATAATCCATTTCAGATTTTTTCCCCCTCTGCCTCTTTTATTAAAATGAGGGTGAAAGATGGATTATCAATCTTTATCACTGCTTCTTTAATCTAGCATTATTCAGGAGAATATGGGATCAGTCATATATAATCTTAGAAGATGGTTAGGTACCTGGGAGACTGGAAGTTATATATTGAGTTTATTTATAATGTTTGCTATGGGAAAAATCTATATTGCAGTATAAGAGATATTCATTATATCTGCTTTTGCATCTGGTAGGATCCATAATGCATACACAGCATATTGTATTCATGTTCTTCCTATTTATGTGCCAGCATTGTAGCTTTTATATTAGAAAATCGGAGATCCAAGTTTCATTATATTTCATCTTCCAACTATCTTATTAAAGTATGTTAGCCTATGTAATTTCTGCAGTGCTCACATTGGTTGTATTGTGCCTGCCTGCATTATTGGAATGACCACATGTGAATGTTCCTCAGGGACTATAACCACAGTGTTTTTGGAGGAGCTTTTTGCCTACTACAAATAGGAAAGTTACTAAACACACAACAGTTCTTCTGTTGCCATTTGTCTCTCAGTTCGGTTGTTGTAAAAAGCCTGGTTGTTAACTTGATTTGATGTTTCTTTATGTTCTAAGCAGCCCAGAATTACATGATAGTGAGATTAGTGGCATATAAATTTAATAAATATAAGCAAACAAATAAGCTGAAATATGCTGGATGACTATGGTAACAAATTGTTCATTTCAAATGGCAAAGGAAATAACTGGGAGATTTTTTAGAGTCCAATTCCCAATCAAAATAAGCTGTTTGGGGTTCTTTTTTAATTTAAACTATTTGGACTACCATTATACTCTCTGGGCAGTGCAATGTTTCGGTCTATATTTTGTTCTTCAAAATTAATGGTGGGAAATGAAGGAGTGCAGTAGCTCACAAGGTTTAGATAATGATCAGCAGGTTCATGTTCAAAACCCAGTTGTTGCCATAGGACAGGATGAACTCTCATCACACACTCCAGTTCCTGCTGACCCAGCAGTTAGAAAGTGGGTGACCCTGAATAGATAAATGGGTACCAGTTTGATGGGCAACTTAATGGGGACACAAAAGTAGCCCCCAATTGGGCATCCTCTGGACAACAGTGATGTCACCAGATAGTTGTGGGATTCAAATATTCAAACAGTGATGTCACCAGATAGTTGTGGGATTCAAATTATCAAAAATGATAATTCTTTGATGCCACTTCCAGAAGTCCATTCTGGGCCTGGGCAACAAAAAAAATTAGCTACCAGTTCTGCCAAAGTGGTGTGAACCGACTGAATCCCACCACTGTCACCAAACGATTCTATCATCACAGAAATGTTTCGGTGCTTCCAACATAGAAGTATAGAATAATAGTGGGAAATGAAGGGGTTTGGCTCCCAGCCCCTTCCCCACCCATAATCCAAATAGAAATACAAATAAAATCACTGCTTTTCTTACCAATTTGAATATTTTTGGGGGGTGGATATGTCAGTTGTGTGTTGGACTGGAATCATGGATATCCAGGTTGGAGTCCATCCTCAGTCATGGAAGCTCACTGGCTGACTGGGCCAATCATTCTCCCTTAACTTAATCTTACTTCACAGGACTGTTGTTGTGGAGAGAGAAAAAAGGAGGAAGGAGAATATGTATTGCCCTGAAGGTCTTAAAGAAAAAGCAGAATACAAAATAGTTAGTTTTCTTTATTTAATTTTATTTAGATGTTAAATAAACTCTTTCCTAGTATGACTAGATCAGGGGTAGATAATGTTGGCTCTTTTATGACTCGTGGACTTCAACTCTGGGAGTTAAAGTCCATGAGTCATAAAAGAGTCAAGGTTGCCTACATCTGGACGGAAGTCCATGAGTCATAAAAGAGTCAAGGTTGCCTACATCTGGACTAGATGGAGCAGTGAGTCACTTAACAGCTACTCTCCTTCCCCCTCTTCCCATACTGTTATTTTATGAAGAAATGGAAATAATGTTTGCATTTTCTGTAGACACATTATCTGCCTTTCTACAACACTCCGAAGTGCTGAATCACTTGGACATTTTCTCTGCTTACTGGAGTCTCCATCATTTCATTCTGAAACAGTTCATTTCCCCTCCATATTCTGGGGTCATCAGAATCTGGTGAAGAAGAGGGAGGCAATCAACTTCATTTGCAACCCTACAATGCCCTGAGGCTGCATTGCTGGAATTTGGCAACAAAATCAGCAGAGTTTGACAGTGCCTTATTTCACTCTGCTTTTTGTTCTTCAGACTTAATGATGGAAATTGGACTGGGATGTCTCCCAATCCCATCTCTACTCAATAGCACCAGAAATAAAAATGGCATTTCATCGCTGCTTTTCTTGCCAACTTTGATAACATTCTTTAATAGTGGAGCTATTTAAAGTAGTGAATCAAAAAATTGAACAAAAAAGTTTTTGCATGTGGGCAGTTTATTGGTGGGATACAATCAGTCTACTTGCCTTTGGCTTCATGCTCTTATTTCTGACCATAAAGTTACAAAAAAGTAAAGGGCTGAATTTCAATCCCACCCCTTACATCACATTGTTAGATGGCACTCTGCAGAACCCGAGCATATCAGGAATTTGGCCTCTGACACTTAAATATCCTGCCCCTCCCCTAAGATTAATTTACTTTAACTCTGAGTCTTAACTGCCAAGAAGGCATTCACTGAAATTACATGCAGTAACTTTGGTCTGATTAATTTGTCCAGCAGAAAAAAATGAATTTATGTATATTTGGGATATCAGTACCAATGGCTGTATGGCCACTTCTGTATGATTGGCAGCCTGAATGCCAGAAGCTTGAGTCTGACAGTGAGAAAGGGTACTGTATTCTAATTCAGCATTGCCCAACCTTGCATGGTTATGCAAGGAAAAGCAGAGAAATATGTCAACAGTGGATAGTGAACATCATTGTTAGAAGAGAATTTTGAGAGTGTGCAGTGTTTCCAAAAGAATATATCCTTGCCCAATCAATATTACAATCTTCGTTTTAAAGAATGATGATGTAGCAAAATGAACCACTCCATATTTATAAAAGGACAAAAAAAACTATGATTGTATGACTTAAATGTTTACAGAGGGCAAATTTGTAAAAAAAAGAATTATATTTACAAAAACCCATTAATTAAAGGTGAACAGTTATAGTAAGGGATGCCTAGAGTTTGAAAAATTAAAGGAAGTGTTATTGAAGAGCCACTTACTGAAAAGGGAGGATTAGATTAGTATTTCAAAGGTGGTCCTCAAAAAATTGTTAGCAGTATGACACATTAATGTTCAAGAATGGCTTGGAGAGAAGGAAATTTTTATACTGTGGTATTTGAGAAGTTAATTGTGCTAGTTTATACATTCAAATGTATACAAAATATACCAATAAAGGAAAACATCTTACATAATTCTGAAAATATGCATATTGCTGCTTTTTTTCTTCAGTGTTTGAATCCACCAAGTATGTCATCCACATATCTCTTTCCAACAGGTCAATGTGTAGAATCCTCAACATTCTCAGAGTCACAGAATTTTTAGAGATACATGGAAAATGAGCGGAAGTATGGAGTATCTTGAAAAAAGATTGTGGATTGCCTGAAACAGTAGTATTCTTCATTATTGTGCTTTATAGGTAGTCCTTGACTTATGATCAAAATTGGGACTGGAATCTTGGTTGCTGATCAAAGCTGTCATTAGGAAAGACATCATGTGACTCAGTCCTCCCAATTGCAGTCATTAAACAATCTCACCGGTTCTTCAGCAGATTCCCAGGTAAGGACAATAAAGTGCCACAAGGGGGTGAGGGAAACCCTGAGAGGCTTGGGGGATGAGATGGGGGATTGCTGCAGTTGGTGCAAAGTCACTGTGGCCTGGGAGTCCTTGGCCTGCTCCCTGGTCCACTAGTACATGCAAAGCATTCTACTTAACTTTGCCATTTTTCTCCAGCTACTGACAGACACACCCAGCCTATGCAAGCCACAGTCTAACTAAGGCCATCTCATGCCTTTCTCCAAGGCTTTGAAAACCTCCTTTCCCAAATTGTGCAATTTGGCAGACCAGGGAAACTGCTGAGGCTTCCCATGCCACAGCACCTTTGCATGCACTGGTGGGCTGAGTGTGTGGCTGAGATGAAAACAGTGATAAGTGAGTGGGGAGAGTTGCAACATCCGTAAGGTCATAAGTGCGGGTGAATTGCAAAGCACCTGAATTTTCATCTCTGGACCTCTGGGGGTCTGCAATTTTGGGTACAGGGCATAAATCCTTTCATTCAGCATCATTGTAGTTTCAAATGGCCATTGAATGAAGGGTCACAAATGGTAGATTATTTGCGTATTAACAATTAAAATACTGACTGGACCTGAATGTTTCCAAGTGATGTATAGTTAAAGCAGAGGTATGCAATGTGCCAATGCAAAAATATTATTTAAAACAATTGCAATTATTTTATAAAAAAACCATCACAATCATTGCTAACACCAATCAAGCTCTATTTTGTGATTGTCTGCTTGGCTTCTCCAGTCAAGGTACTCCCCAGGCATGGCCAGCTCTTCCTGATAAGATCTGTTATTTCATATGGTAGATACAAAAGATAGCTTAGGATCTGTGCCTCAGTTCCTATATTTTTGTACCATAGTAGAGTTGGCAAGGGTGAGGTTCAAGATATATAGAGTTAAATTTATCTGTGTGAGGAGATTAACTTTTATTAAAATGATGAATCCACAAAGTGTGATTCCTTTGTTTCCCTTTGGGGAACCTTGCAAATTTCTGTTTAGCAATGGCTAATTGCATTTATCTTTTACCTGCATTCACACATCCCACAGTGAATATTTTATCACATTGTTTTTTTTAAGGCAAACTGGATTGGCATGGGCTAGAAAGATAAAATGAGTCTCTCTCTCTTGTGTGTGTGTGTGTGTGTGTGAGAGAGAGAGAGAGGGGGGGGAGGGGGGCAGGTGGGTTGGCTCTTTGAATGACTTCTCTGTATGTGTGTGAAAATTCTGTTTTGGTTCTGGGATTATTCTGATGTGTTCTTTTTTGATGCTGAGCTGTTGGTGAATTTGCAACCTAGCTGACTGGCTGCTTTTATATGGAAATGTATCAACACCCTGTGTAGTGTACATTTTCTTCAAGCAATTCTTGTAAAGGAAGATGGTATTGGGAGACAAAATATTTTACTGAAGTCTTTCACATCTTCACAAGGTTGTGATCTTGTCTCTTTTTCAGTCTTGTATATATGGAGTCACTTTTAACTTTCCATGCCCATCCAGTGGCAACTTTGTAACCTGCATCCATAGAACACTATCAGGTTTCCCATGTGCTCTAAAAGCTCCATAGCTTATTTTGATATATTTTAATCCAGGATCAGTTCATCAACATGTCACTAAACAATCTAGATCAGTATCTTCTCCAATAGCAAAGGAAATAACTCCAACAGAGCTTATAATGTATAAAACCTTATCATAGCCACAGTAAGTCTTGCTATCTTCCATATCCATTCATGTTTACTGCAAATATTTATACTGCCTGTTTTCCCAGTCACTTTTCTACAGTTGCCCTTCAAAAGGTGTGAAATATTGTTCCTGGTGCTGTCGGTATTTCAGATCTGTAGGATGCCTTTGGCTGATGCTATATATGAATGAAAGGTGAGGGAGAATGCAAATATCTTAGTAACACTTTTTTTTAAAAAAAAAATGCTGCTACAGCTACTAATTGCAGATTGTTGTTCATGCATTTCATAAACTTCCAAATGCTTGCAGTTTGATGGACATAATATCACCCAGTTGTCTGCCAGTAACTGCTTCTTTGAGTTGTTACAAGTTCATTCCTCAGTGAAAATGTCTAACCAACTTGCATTTGATTATCTTTGTAAGCATCAGCGTCTTCCCCAACGGTTCTTATCTTTTATTATGTGTCCCAAATGTCTTAGCTTTAGTTTTGTTGTTGGCATATCCAGTGAGGAATTTGGTTTTATTTCAGTAGTAGAGAATGATTTGCTTTTCTTGTGTTCCACACTATTCTCAACAACCTTCTTCAGCACCACAACTCAAAGTCATCCATTTTTCTTTGTTCATCCTTTGTGATGGTCCAGTTTTCTACAGCTATATGTTACTACAGGGAAAAGCATAGTGTTGAGAAATATAAATCTATTGTTAATGTGGTGTCTCTGCAGTTCAATATTTTGTCTAGATTTTTCACGTAGCAAATCAAGTAGTAGATGTATCATTATTTTATTTGAACATTGGAGCCCAGAAAGATAAAATCTGTTTCTACTTCATCTCCTTCATTTAGTTCAGTGATACTGAACTTATGACATGTGGGTCAAAGGTGACCCTCCACAACATTTTGGGCAATATGCCAGTATTCACCAACATGCTAGGCTGATCCTAAATGGGGATGAGAAAAAATGTTGTTTCTCTTTTGTGTGTGTGTGTGTGTGTGTATGTGTGTGTGTGTGTGACACACACACACAGAGAGAGAGAGAGAGAGAGAGACAGAGACAGAGACAGAGACAGAGAGAGGGGGGAGAGAAAGAGAGAGAAGAGAAAGAGAGAGAGAGAGAGAAGAGAGAGAGAGAGAGAGAGAGAGAGGGAGGGAGGGAGAGTAGTAAAGTCAGGTTAGGCATTTTCTAAATTTTTGACATGCTGTGTCCAAAAGGTTCACTATCGCTACTCTAGTTGCATCAGATTGGCATTGTCTGTTAACACATCTTAGGGTTTTTAAAATATTCATCAGCAGGTTGCATTTTGTACTCTCTTCTTTCATTTTCAGCAAGATATTCCTTAACTCTTTCCCACATGCAGGCAATGAAGTAATACAATCAGCATTTCTGAGTTTGTTGACATTCTTTGAGTCAATTTTAATTTTGATTTCTATTTCCTCTAGTCCAGCATTTTTCATTATATATTCGGCCTATAACATAAATAAATAAGATGACAGTATTTAGCCTTGAAACATTACCAGTTCTGGTCCACCTATTTGCTCTACATTCCATCTGAATTTGCTTCTTGAACATTGCTTAACTTCTTCAAATGGCAGTTATGGCAGTCTGATATATTTTTAAAAGCTATCCATAATTTGTTGTCGTCTACACAGTCGAGAACCTTATGTGACCAATAAAGCAAACTCTATAATGTTTTTGAAATTTCTTCCCTTTCCCAATTATCCATTGGAATAAGCAAAGTGGACACCTTGGTATCTTCTGGCTCCTACTCATACACCTAGCCACCCTTGTTCCATCTATTGTTGAAATGTGGATTGCAAAATCTTGAGCATTCTCTTTCTAGCATGGGAGATAAGTGCACCTGTTGTTTAGAATTGCCCTTTTTTGTATTACCTTGATTCTGTCTTTCACAACTACCAACAAAGTGCAAAGACTACTTTAACTGCAACATTTTGTAGGCTTTTAACAATTATGCTGGTATTCCATATACCCTTGCAATTTTGCTATGCCACTATTCCTAAGGCTTATTTCACTTCACTTTCTAAAATGTCTAGCTATAATTTAGTGATCAAACTTTTATATATATATATCATCTATTTTGTGATCACAGTTGTTCATTTCCTCCATTTAGGCATGACTCGGTTTTTTTTTTTTTTTTTTTATTGAAATTTTTCAAAAGTTTTACAGATAAAAATCCACCCCCCCCCTCCCCAACCACCCCACCCCCCCCGACTTCCCAGAACTGAATATAGGATTATTTAACAAATATTTTAAAAATAACATATGCAATTTATAAAATAATTAATAATAATAATAAAAATCACAATAATAATATATATAATAATAATATAGATAACATAAACTTTAAAATGAATAATATATACTAAAAAAAAAAAAATAAAAAGAGAAAAGAGAGAGAGAAAGAAGAAAGAAGACGAAGAATAAAGCATATATATATATAAAAAAAAATATATGAATAATAATACATAAAAAATGTATATATATAAAAATGAAAAAGAAGAAAGAAAGAAAGAAAAAACAATCATTACAAATTATAAAAAGGCTAAATAATATTTTTCCATATCCAAATTATGTTGTATAAAATTTATCCATTTTTCCCATATCGCAAAAAAATTTTCTTGAGATTGCTCCTTTAAGAAAGCCGAAATCTTTGCCATTTCTGCCAAATACGAAACTTTATGAAACCATTCTTGTAAAGTAGGCAAAGATTCCTTCTTCCAATATTGTCCTATTAACAACCTAGCGGCTGTAATCAAATTTAACATCAATATAACCTCCTTAGCATCACAGTCAATAACAATACCTAGTAAAAATAATTGCGGAGTAAATTTTACCCTCCTTTTAAAAATTCTTTGAATATTCCACCATATCTTAATCCAAAAAGCTTTTATATGCTTACACGTCCACCAAATATGGTAATAGGTAGCATCCAAATATCCACATCTCCAGCATTTCGGCTGTAGATTAGGGTACATAATGGACATTTTCTTTGGGTCAAGGTGCCATCTATAAAACATCTTATAAAAATTCTCTCTTAAATTTTGCGCTTGTGTGAATTTAACATTTCTTATCCAAATAAGTTCCCAAGTATCCATTGAAATCGTTTCACCAATATTCTGTGCCCATTTAATCATACAATCTTTAACTAGTTCAAGTTCTGAATCTAATTCCACTAAAACCCCATAAACTCTCTTAATATGGGTTGGCCTTTGATCTCTTACTTGTTTTAAAAAAATTTCATCTTCTCTAAGCCAGCCCATTTTACAATCCATCTTCCATCTATCCACTATTTGTCTATATTGGAACCATG